AGAGAGAGAGGAGGAAGCAGGCTCCCTGCTGAGCAGAGAGCCCAATGTGGGGCTCGATCCCAGGACCCTGGGATCATGTCCTGAGCCGAAGACAGAGGCTTTAACCCACTGAGCCACCCAGGTGCCCCAACCAAATTTGTTTTTTAATGGATTGAAAGAGAAGAGAAACTTATCAGTGCAACACATCTGTGAGGTGTGTGTGTTGCTTAATGCATACTTTGTATCATGTGTGTGTTTGCCCATGTGTGTGCATGGGTGGTAAATCAGTTTACAAGGTAAATTTATTCCTTACTTTGTCCAACTCTCTAAAATGTTTGAAAAATATTGAAACAATAAAGGAACAGAGTAGCACATAGGAATTTGGAATATGATTAGGGTGATATTTCAAAGCCGTAGGAAAAAGAACTATTCAGTACAGGGTGTTGAGACCTTGGCTATCTATATTAAAATAATAATTTAATAAAGTTAGTGCCCTATCACACACAGTACATAAATCTATATTTCAAAAGGATTAAAAACTGAAGGGTAAAAAACTCCTATGAAAATATTTCTGCAAAAATGATAGGAGAAAACAAAAACAATGAAACTTCTTCACAATAAAAAACACCTTATAAATGTTTAAAGACAACTGGGAGACAATATTTGCAATTTCAATAAAAAGTGCAAATTAGAATTTAAAGTGTATAGCTGTCTCGCACCAATTAAAAAGTATATAAACCCAACAGGAAAACGGATACAGGGTATTAACACAAACACACCATATATACATAAGTATGTCCAACTCCAAAACGCAAATTAAAACAACAGTAATACAGCTTTTAGCAATCCTGCTGGCAAAGATGAAAGAATTTAATAATATCGAGTGGTGCTAGTCAGGAACTAAGGAGGATTACAGTCAAATATGGGAGTGAGGGAAAAGGTAAACTGCTACTTTGGCGGGCAATTTGCAAGTATGTATTAAAATTAAAATGCACACAATTCCTAATTCAGCAATTCTACCCTGTAGCATTTATCCCAAAGGAACACACACAGTCATGCCCAGAGAGAGAGATGTAGAAAGAAGTCTTCATTATTGAATGGTTTACAACTGAAAACAATTTAAGCAAACTAGGGTCCATTTAGAGGAAAATGTTTAAGAAAACTGGTATGTTTATACTGTGCACACAAGTAAAAGAAATAAGGTATGTCCATGTAATATGGCTAGATCTCAAGAACTAACACTGATCGACAAAAAATTCAGGACGATACATATGGATTTAAACCACTAATATTAAAGAATACAACACAATGTCCCATAGGACTCTACAGTTTCTATGAATACACACATAAGTACATACATGGAACAGAGGTTACCCCTGGAAAGAGCTCAGCTGAGACAGAAGCAGAGGGTGGTCAAAAGGGCTTTGACATCCTCTGACAAGCTGAGATTTTACCCCTTTGAAATTCTATTTGGCTATTTTTCAAACATGCTTTATCTTTTTTTTTTTTTTTGATAACATACTATTGTTTTCCCCTGTTTTACAATATTTCTTCTTCTGTAACTCTACCCACTATTTCTGTCATCTTAAATTCTGGACAATCTAATCCTACTGTTCTTTAGTTCACTCTCAGTCTTGGGGTCCACATCATTGTATTTTTATTTGTGAGCAAGTCCTCAGCCCAGATCCATAGCCAGAGCAGGCAAAGTGTCCTGCCATAAATGTTTTCTTCCATTTGCTTTCCGGCAGAACCAGGGTCATGTTTGTGTTATTTCTCAGCTTGCAAGGCTTGCGTGTCACGCAGGGAATGTAAATTTGCAATCTCAATGCCACTGAGGGCAGGCCTTTGACTTTGAGTACTCAGGGAAGTCTTTGTTTTTGATTCAGAACAAAGCTAAAACCAGGAAGCCCACTTATCGTGGGTGGCCTTGTGCAGATCCACTCTGGTTCCCCAGCCCTCCCCACATCCCAGGTCAAATATTTTTCACCATGTTTATAGCCTTCTGAGGGTCTTCAGTTCCAGTTTTCTGCAAAGATCAGCTTTCTGGGGATTTTCAGTTCCTGCTCCTCTCCTTGCCTAGATTCAAGCCCTCGTTCTTAGATCTGTGACTCTTAGAACTCAAATGCCCTGTCAACAAGCACAAGGAAGACTAACATGACTTCAGTTCACAGGCATGTACCTCAGCAGTCTTTTCATCAGGTGTGATGACTGAGAAACATCATACACATTTGAACCTCCTTGAAGTCATTCTAGTAGGGTCTTCCCTGCCACAAAATGTCTGAGCAGCCAAATGTAAGGGACTCACTATTCTTTTTCTTTTTAAGCTAAAAAAACAAACAAAGAAAACAAAACAAAAAAAAACCCCACTTCTTGTTCTCTCTTCCCGAACACCCTCTTCTCATGTCATGGAACAGGTACCTGGCCTTGGAGTCTGAGAGGTCTTAACACTGACCTCTTGCCTGGCAGGCTCTAGGGAACATGGCTACCTTTCCTGACCTTAACTAGTCCTCCCAAATTTCACTCGATACCATAATCTAAGTATCTCTTCCCTGAGTGACTGCTTTGTCTAACTCCTTGTCTCACCAGGACCTCATCAGGCCAGCTGCTCACATTTCAACATGGTAAATAAAATTTGTTATTGGGAGAGCCTACCCCAACATTACCAGGATGGTCAAGAGTACTGCCCAGTGGTGTTTTGATTTTAACCTCTTTGGTTAAACTATAACACACTGATTGAGATACCAATCACTGTAATATGCAGAGGCAAAGAAAGAAAAATAAAAGTAACAATAAAGAAATGTTCTAATTGCTGTAATGCAAACAATGAATTTCAAATGCTGACAATGGGAAGCTTAGTTCACTGATGTAAAAAAAAAAGTCCATTATCAAAAGAGAAGCTTTAAAACCCAGGGATATCAGAAAGGAAAAACAAAAACAAAAGCAAAAAAAAAAAAAAGAAACCTTTTATTCTTACTTGTCAATTATACTATCACCAATATATTCATTATCTCTGCAAATGCGATTTGCACGTATTTAAAAATAAGGTAATTAAAATACTTCTGTTTTTCATTGTTTTTGGAACTTTTTACATGGTTTCAAAAATAACGTAAATTCCCTTAAAATAGACATAATTATTTTAATAATGCTGTTGAAGGAAATGAATAATTGGGCACTAAGAAAGACAGCATATATAATGAACAATAGCATGGCCCCTGGCGCCAGACCGCCTGGATTCAGAACCAAGCTCTGACTTATCACCTGGGCCTTGTTCAGTTCATTTAAGTTCTTTGTGCCTCCTTTTCCTCATTTGTAAATTGCAAACAGTAGTAGTACCTACTGCACAGGGATATTATGAGGGCTAAATTAAGTTACATTTAGAAATATAAACATTGTATGAAGTCAGTCCCATGTGTCTGTTAAGTAAATAACTAACAACATTTTGAAAACACAAGATAAGTAAACAACCAGGCATCCGTGAATCAAAGGTCATGTTTCCCATTCTCCCAGGCACAGCACCTTGTGTTCCCCCAGTCTCTAGCATCTTTGTTGTTGTTTTATTTAAGATTTTATTTATTTATTTGACAGAGATTAAGAGAGCACAAGCAAAGGGAAAGGCAGGCAGTGGGAGAGGGTAAAGCAGACCTCCCTGCTGAGCAGGGAGCCCGATGTGGGGCTCAATCCCAGGACCCTGGGATCATGAACTGAGCCGAAGGCAGCCGCCTAACCAACTGAGCCACCCGGGTGCCCCTCTAGCATCTTTGGTAAGTAAGCTGCTAAGAGCTGGGCCAATGTCATGCTGGTCCAAAATGTGCAACTAATGTATTATATTTGAATCTCTCTACAAGAAACATTTCATCTCTAGTTTCTAAAAGGGCCTGAGGGAAAGAGAAAACAGTAAGGACAACGCAGAAATATATGCAGGGGGGTGGGGGGATGGGTGAGCCAGGTGGTGGGTATTAAGGAGGGCACATATTGCATGGAGCACTGGGTGTGGTGTGTAAACAATGAATCTTGGAACACTGAAAAAATAAAATTTAAAAAAAAATGTGCAATTCAAGTAAACATAAATATGACCACATGAAAACATTCCATTCATCAGGGAGGTTAAAAATCCTAGAGATAGCAGTAGGAAGAAAGCCTATGGTTCCTAGTAAGCATAAACATATCTTCAGATTTAACTTCTATATTTCAGGAAGGCAGTTCCTAAGACCAAATTTTTTGATGCAAGGGCAACCAGAACAATAACCTACAGGAAAACGCAACCATGTAGGCCACAGGTTGGAAATCCAGTCTTTCAAAATGAATGTCAAATCTTTTCTTTTGTCATATAAAAACAAATCCAGATCTATGTAAACAGAGATTTTATTCAAAAAGTCTATTGCAATAAGGAAGATGCACCGAACTTTGGATCTGTCTGCAAGCATCTCAAAGTCAAACAGAAAATGCCTTTCTTTTCTAGGGAGGGGTAAGCAGGCTAGCAGGAACTTTTGAGAGGAAATGGGACAAACTAACGGGGGGAGCAGGAAGCATGATCACACTGTAGTCAAGCATTAGTGCTGCTCAGACTTGGGTCAAACTAAAGTTCAGGGGCCCGGGAGGAAGAAAAACTTGTTTAAGGTTTGATCAAGCTAAGGCAGAAGGTAACTAATAGGTAACTAACAGACAACTACGGACCACTGGTCTCTTCATAGCAGCAAGAATACTGGTTTTAATGATAGTATTACAGTAAAAGAGTAGTCAGGAGTTTAACCTTCCAAACAGATTAGGTAAATAACCAACCCCACATCAACTAAAATGTCCACTTTTTCCTCTCTTCTTGGACACTAACCCTTTTTCCCCCAGGGTCCTTACTGGGTAAGGAAGGGTGTCTGCTGCCTACATTACCTGGATACTCAAAGGATTTGCAAACTCATGTTCTCATACGGATCTCTCTCAAAGCAAAACTTCATCTGACAGAGGAAACCAATAACTAGAACATGAAAACAGGGTTTCAAAAATTATTTGCAAGGCAACACATTTACCAGTCAGTGAGATGTTATGACTCTCCAAGAAAAGGCTGGAGTATTTTGTCATCATTACTTCTGGGATGGGTAGACTTGTAAGAGGTGAAGCTGTAAGAAGAAGAAAATGAGATCGCATATTATTTTCAAGATGAAATGACTATAAGCTAGTTTTTAACAGCTAAAATGCTATATTGTACACTATTAATGTAAAATAAAATTAATTTAAAAAATAACATAGGATTGTTGTCAGTGCTTTTGTTGTTGTTGTTGTTTTTAAAGATTTTATTTATTTATTTGACAGAAATCACAGTAGACAGGCAGGCAGAGAGAGAGAGAGGGAAGCAGGCTCCCCCGATGTGGGACTCGATCCCAGGACCATGAGATGATGACCTGAGCCGAAGGTAGCAGCTTAACCCACTGAGCCACCCAGGCGCCCTTATTGTTGTTTTTTAAAGATTTTATTTATTTATTTGACAATCAGAGATCACAAGTAGGCAGAGAGGCAAGCAGGGTTGGGGGTGGGGTGGGGGGAATCAGGCTCCCTGCTGAGCAGAGATCCTGATGCGGGGCTCGATTCCAGGACCCTGAGATCACGACCTGAGCTGGAGGCAGAGGCTTTAACCCACTGAGCCACCCAGGCGCCCCTGTAAGTGCTTTTTTAAAAAAAGGTTTTATTTATTTGACAGAGAGAGCATTAGCAAAGGGGAGGGGCAGAGGGAGAAGGGGATGCAGATTCCCTGCTAAGTAGGGAGCCCTACGTGGGGCTTGATCCCAGGACCCCAGGATCACGACCTGAGCTGAAGGCAGATGAGCCACCCAGGTGGTAAGGTAAGTACTTTTTACAATCTAGAATAAACTCCAAATATTGGAATAGAACCTGAGAAAAAACAGGTGTTGTACAAGATAATAAAAAAAGTTTTCTACCCCAAAAGGGCAGTGCAAACATTCTTTTGGTATCAGATGGGAGATGAGGGAAGCATAGCTTTCATTCATATGAGAAAGAGAGAAACAGTTCTTAAGACTAAAGTACAGTTAAAGACTGAACAGATAACGAGAAAACATGTTATTGACTCTGTAAAAAATGCGTTTACAATATTTAAATTCTAATTACACCTGTAACATTGTTCCTAAAATAGACAATTACTCTTACTCCTTTAAAAAAAATCTGTGATTCCTTTTGAACTACTGGAATCTAAGACTGTGAAAAAGAAAGCCAAGTTGAGTTTCAGTGCAGAATGCCTTCCTTACTTTTCCATGGCACTGTCATTGACTCACTCGATAGCATTTTTAATTTCCCTGCCTAAAGCTCTTCCACGGGTACACAAATTCCCTCTTCAATGCAGAGAGATCTGAACGGAGGCACCGCAAGAACAGAAGAAAACTTAAGAGTATATGCCAATCAAAATGAACCCTCCCTTCTTCCCAGGTGTCCCTCTTCTAGAGAGTCCTTCTCAGGCTTCCCACTCTGGCCAGCCGCCCCCTCCCAGCACACAGAGTAAACACTGCCCTCATTGCGGTAGACTCCCACATACTGTGTTCTAATTGTAGGAGGTACTGGTGTGTGTGTCTCCCACCAGACCGTGAGCAAGGATTAATAATTTATGAGGCAAAATGCAATGGCTTACTTAAAAATAAAAACTTTGGGGGGCACTGTATTATTTGAAAGGCAACACATTTACCAGTCAGTGAGATGTTATGACTCTTCAAGGAAAGGTTGGAGTATTTTGTCATCATTACTTCTGGGATGGGTAGACTTGTAAGAGGTGAAGCTGTAAGAAAAGAAAATGCGATCGCATATTATTATCAAGATGAAATGACTGCAAGCTATTTTGTAACAGCTAATATTCTATATTGTATACTATTAGTGAAAAATAACGTTTTCAGGAAGCTCCAAGGAACTAGATCTCATACATTCGCAGATATTCAGAAATATATTGGGCTATCAAATGCGACCAAATTTCCAACTTTTTCTATGCTCTTTTATTTACTGAAAAATCCCTACTGATTTAATCAAGTAGCTTAAAAAAATTTATTGTCTTATCCTACCATTTGTAGTTTCTTTATGAAACATACATGAAGATACTGAAGAATGAGACAAGACTGCCGGGAAAAAGACAGACACAAAGAGGCAGAAAGAAGGTGAGTGAACAAAGAGAGACAGAGAGACCATAATAAAGGGCATAAAATGAGGACAGAGAAGAGAAAATGGATCACAGTGAGAGTTTCTGTTGTTTGGTTTTCCAGCTACAGTTATAGACCGGCTCTACCAAACTGACTTTTGGTTCTCCTCTGCCATTTCTCTCACCTTTTCAAAATCTTTATTGAAAAAAAAAGGTTTCCATTTCCTCCCTTCCACTCTCCTCAAAACTTTTTTTTTTTTTTTTTTTTTGGTACAGTGGCTACTGTTCTTTGTGAGGCATCAGAACTTATCTCCCATAAAAACGACCCCAATTCCATCAAATAAGTCAGAAAAGGGGAAAAGACTGTAGTCTTGGCTGCATTCTTAAAACTTCTCATTCAGTTTAAATTAAACCTGAGCCTTTTTTTTATTTCACTTTCCTAATACTCTGAGCAGAAACTTACTCCTAGTGCAAGATTAGATTTCCAGTTCTTTTCTTACATGTATGAAAAATATTATCAAAGCTGGTGATCACCTTTGTTGCCTCCGCTTATGCACACGTTTGACAACATTGCCTAATAAACAAATCTACCTAGCAGAACCTCACTCTCCAGTAAGCTGTGTTCCAAAGGCTGGATCACTTCTAAAGCAGCTTTGGAAGGTGGAGGGCACTTTCTCATAAAGTCATCCTTTTAACAAATTTAATATGTAAATCATACCACCCCCTGACAGTGATTGTACAAGAAAATATGCCCTGAGTGTCTGACTGGGCTATCAAGAATAGAAAACATTTCTTCCACTCACATTTAATATTCATTCATACATATTCTTTCTGTCTCCACGTCTCTGTCTCTGTCTCTGTCTCTCTCTCTCTCTCTCTCTCACACACACACACACACACACACACACACATGCACACACAGCCCAAAAGGCTCCTATCAACATTCTTTTTCTGATGAAAAAAATTGTTTTTCCATTCTTAGGGCATAGCTCACTTAGAGGTTGTATTTAAGAGGAAATATCTCAGAAAGAAGAAAGTAGATGCTTTTGACTTACAGATAGAAAGCCAGGAAGGTGTGGTTGGGAAGGAATGAGCTGTTCTAGATCATCCGTTCAGTGAAACGTGCAAAACATAAGCTTTGATATCTTTGCTTCCTTGCTAGGGAGTCTCCTTTCTTGGCCTAGCCTACTCCAGAGGTGAATGTAATTGTGAGGTTTCTCATCACACTCTTTATCCCTAAAACAAGACCATAATCCTTTGAGATCATCTAATATTATTTATTCATATTATTAGTAGTATTAGTCACACTATCAAAAGCAATAAGAAAGTGACATAAGCTGAAAACATGTGTTTTATCCTTCCTATTTTATTTAAATAAGTGAATACAGGGAGCACTTGATCCGTGCTTGATGCTGGTAAGGAGCAGGAAGCTGAGCAAACTCGGTCCCTACAGGACCACATGGATGATAATAACAGCGATTTAGGCCCCCAGTTTGTAAGTGAGAGTCATTAAAATTTCAGAGTGCCACCATTCATAGTATGACTATAACTACTAGCCCGTGTATTTTCCAGCTTGGCAGGGGAGAGGCAGAGGATGAAGCCTGATTTACATCTTTGAGAGACTCTGGAGGTGGAACAGAGGTGGAGATGATGCCACAGAGATAAGCTCAGAGGCTGGGGTTATTTTGCCATTTCTCGGTATCGGGCCTGGATGGGAGAGCCTACCTATATTAGCACAAGAGAAGAGAGGTCTAGACGCGGCTTGGGCAAAATCTAAGCTCACAGGAGCTGATGGAATGGGAGGGGGGAAAAAAGTCAAGCTTCAAGAATAGAGAAGTTTGGGCAGCTCCAGAAGATACGAGCTGTTACAACCACTTCCCACCACCTGTCCATAGATTAAAAATACAGACATCCATAAACCAGCCACCACCTGTACCCTAACTTCGTATCCCCTCTAAAGCATTTTTCTTGATCAGGTTTCAGATTCCACTGAACAAGCCCGAAGTGCAAAAGAACATGTGCTATTCTTGTGGTTTTTTTGTTTGTTCGTTTGTTTGTTTGTTTGTTTTTGCCTCAAGGAAAGTCCCTCCAAAAGGCAACGTACACAAACGTCTAGAGTGGAAAAAGCAGGGCCTTCCACAGAAGGTGCTAGAATAGTAAAAGTGAGAAGTTCTTTGCTTAGCCAAGTTTTTTTTTTTTTTTTTTTTTTTTTTTTTTAAATCAAAGAAGTGGGAACGTAAACCTTACTGCTTTCCGTAGGAGGACAACTGGCAGGAGGCAGAGATGGGTGTTTAAAGGAAACTGGCAGGAGAGTCAGGCAGATGTGGTTTGAATACTCCCCCTAAAGGATTAGGCTGAGTCACAAAAAGAAACACAAAATGGAGAGGCAGGAATTTGGATCCTAATCCAAGTCCTCCCTCTGACTTGTTACTCGGGGTTTCATTTCATGGAAAAAAGAGGGAGGATCAGAAGAGTCTAATACTGAGTGATGGCGCCAAGATCACAGCATACATTCCTCAAGTTGTCACGCTCATCCCTCTCTTAATCATGGCAGGAAACTTTCCACCCCGACTTCTTTTACAGTTAGTGGCAAAAATGCCACATTAAGAAGTAACATCTAATAGTTTTTCTAAAGATTAAAGATTTTTCTCCCTCTACAGGGGCAAGGGGCATGCCAGTGTTGCATCAAAGAGCTGAGTAACGACCCAATTTTCACCTATTGTTAGTTTCTGTAAAATAGCAAAATGGTCTCTACTTAAATATCTGTCACATATTACATTTTAAAATAGACATTGCTAGATGGGCTTATAATATACGCTATTAATATTTTTAAGAGATAAACGTTATAATTTCTACTTACAATATTAAGGTAACATTTTTACATATTTCATTCTGGAGCTCCATTTTAATTGAAGTAAATTGGGAAGAAAAAAAAAAGGATAAGTAACACCAGAACACTACATTGGGTCTTCACATTTGCTTTCCTCTAGATCAGAAAAGTTCAATCACAACTCTGTTTAAGAATAAGCATTTTGGGGGCACCTGGGTGGCTCAGTTGGTTGAGCGTCTGCCTTAGGCTCAGGCCATGATTCCAGAGTCCTGGGATCGAGTCCCACATTGGGCTCCCTGCTCGGTGGGAAGCCTGCTTCTCCCTCTCCAATACCTCCTGCTTGTGTTCCCTCTCCCACTATCTCTCTCTGTCAAATAAATAAACATAATCTTTAAAAAAAAAATAAGCATTTTCTCTAAATCCCCCCCCCAAACAACTTTATTATATTTTATGATCCTGGAAGGGTCTAGATTTCATGTAGAGAAAGGTGTAAGTAAAAGCTATTATTAGGGTAAATATCATTCTCTCTCTTTCTCGCTCTCCTCCATATAATGTACTGATTGCTATCAATATGCATAATTACCAATATTTTTATTAAATTTTAATTTTAGCATTCTGATACACAGTATTATAAATGTATAGCCCAATTATAAAAACCCTATAACCTAGGAATGGATAATACATACTATTTATAAAACAAAGGTTTGGAATTCGGAATACATTTCCTCATGGAAGCAATGCTATATATAACCCCAAGATGCCATGCCAAATTGTAAAGGCCATTTAAGGCATGATATGGCTAAACTATAGCATTAAAATATCTAATTACCAATATTTCTAATAAATAGTGCTTTTAGAGTTCTACTTCTGGAAGCTAGGAATACAGTATTCTTATCCCATCTATAATGGCAATAGTAGAAAGAAGAGAAGGGGAGAATTAAGGCTATATTGATTCCCAGACACTATAATCCACAGAGAGTTTGTCAAGAAAAGAAGGTTTGGCAAGAAAATAAATTCCTGATGGGGACATTTTATAAGTCAGTCTTCTAAGTCAGGGACAGTTAAAAAAACAAACAGAAAGCCCATTATCTTTTCTCCATAGAATGAGAACCACTGAGCAAAAGGCCATTTTTAGGGGCACCTGGGTGGCTCAGTCAGTTAAGCATCTCTTGATTTCAGCTCAGGTTATGATCTCAGGGTTGTGAGGGCGAGCCCTGCACTGGGCTCTGAGCTGGGCATGGAGGCTGCTTAACATTCTCCTTCTCCTTCGGCCCCTCCCCCACTCTACTTGCACACATTCACACACACACTCTCTCCCTCTTTAAAAAAAAAAAAAAAGGGCCATTTTTAGACCAACAACAATTGAAGAACAATTAAAAAGCCTAATAGCAAGAACAGTGCGCACTTTTCCAAAGCCTTGTAAGACTGGTTTTAAACCTTGGTCATATTGAAATATAAACAAATTGATCTTTCCTTTGAAAACGGATTATTGCAATAAAATCCATGTCAAAAGGCAGCGTTAAAAACTCTTGTTCAGACTACCTCTAAGTGGTCATTAAAATATGTTAACAGTGAATCTTAGACCAAATAAAACTCTTAAGAAATAAAACACCAGAAGTCTGACTAGCATTCCTGTTCTTTCTAATGACTGTGGGTTTTTCCAATGTTTCACCCACTAGATTTTTCTTTGATAAGACCTAGATTCTGTTCAGTGGTTCTCACCTGGAGCTGACTTTTGCCCTCCATGGGACATGTAGCAATGTCTGGAGACATGTGGATGCCACAACTTGAAGGAGGTTACTACTTGTATCTAATAGGT